AAGTACTGTCATAGGCAAAACAGACTTGACTTGTGGAATTTAACTTAGTTTATTGACAATTAGCATAAATATTTCATTACTGAGTTGAGTATTTGGAAATGAAAAAGCTCACAAAAATTCAAAGTGCCTTTCCTCCCCATTTTTCAGGCTTAGCTTCACTCCCAGGCTCACTTCACTCCAGACTCCTCTCCTCCTCCTGTGTTGTAGCTGTGGGTCATGCTCAGTCCCTCCAGTGCAGCAGCGAGTGGCACAGGGGCTGGGGTCAGGACATAGTAGTGTCCTTTTCCTCTGGTCCTTCACTCTTCCTTCTGCGCTGCCATGGAGCAGCTCCCACTCCCCTGACCTTGTTATTCCCTCATTCTCTCCTCTATTCCTTCATCCTCTGCCTGTCCAGCATTTCTGCCCTTTCTTAGATATGCTTTCCTGGATTTGCCACCATCTCACGTGAGTGGCTCAACAGTGCTCTGTGGTGGGTGGAACCATCAGTGTTCAGAGAATGGAGAAGAACAAAAGATTGTTATATTGTTCTTAGACGTTATCTCCAAGTCAGTGATATTTAAAATATATTTAGTTTCAGTCTGACTGTGAATGTGAAGGACCTAGGATGAAATCCACAGTGATTGGTATAGGCAGCAAGGAGGTTGATGTGACCATACCGCTGATCACCAGGAGTTCTGTGAGCCTGATGCTGTGCCAGTCTCTCCATAGAGCCTGTTGAGAAGGGCAGCACACCTTACTGAGGTACGTGCCAGGCTCTGGACCAGGACTGACTTGCATTTGGCTGGGCTGAAAGACAAGCAGTGTGAGCCTATGACTATCTGCACCATCTACACTAGTTCAGCAAACATTTTGACTAAGGACATATCTAACATTTTTGAACCAATATATGTGATATTCTGGTTCATGGTTGAGTACAATGGCTGTGTTTCCTGTTGTTAAAACATTTTGATCTGGAAAAGGTGATTTAGAAGACAAGCTGTTTAACTAGTGCATGAGCAGAGATAATCTGTTCCAAGAATAATTGACAGCAGGGGAAAGGGTATAAAGTTAAGAGTAGGTGAAAGGAACAAAAGAAATATTAAAGAAATGTGTTTTCTTTGAAATGTGTTTTCTCTGCTCCAAAATGCAGAGACTTGTGGAGAGATGAGGACAGCATGCTCCATTGCAGCCACATTATACTATCTCTAAAAATATGCCATTGGTCATCTAGCCAAAAAGGTAACCAACTTGCCTAGAGTCTCGGGGATATTTGTCAGGAATTCAGAAAAGAAAACGTTTGGAAGATGGAGAAACCATCTGAGCTCACTGTGAAGCAGCAAATGTTCCAGTGCTATTTTTGGTTAAGTAGTACTGTATACTGGGGGAGTTTCCATGAAATGAGAGGTGACACTACAGAATCTTGGAATAAGCATGTTTGAAATATGCTGTTCATGGAAATACATATATTCCACGTATTTAGCATTTAGTCTAGTCTAATAAATGACTGTAGCATCTTTTGATTCCATACTTAATGTCTCCTTTTCCCTTTTCAGAGGAATATGTATCATCCTTGTGGTCTCATTTTGTGAACTTAAAAGTGTCATTTGGTCCTTCTACGGTCAACCATCAGGTCTGAAAAACTGTACCTGAGTTTATTGACCTGAAAAGGGCAGAAGACATAAAATAATCTAGTACATTAGCTTTGATCTATTGGACCAGAGAGAGAGAAAAGAAAGAAAGAAAGAAAGAGAGATTTATTTTAACTTCTGAAATTATTGGATAAGACCAAACCCACTATGCAATAAGGAGAAAGTGGCATCACACTTATTAATGGGAAAGATGCGTAAGAACTAAATTCCGCTGATAAAGGTGTTTTCATGAGAATGCCTGTCCTCACCTCTGTTGGCACTAGGGCAGGTTGACAGTAGGCTGTTTGAGTTAACATGAGCAACATGATATCAGTGATGTTGCCACTTTAGCACTTAGTCACCTTAAGAGTAAAATCAGCACCTTCACTGAAAAATGGAAGTGACCTCTGATAGGTGGTTATATCACAGAAAACTCTTAGTTTTAGTTCTTGATTCCTTCTTTAATGTTTTCCAGATTAGCTGTAGATGAATTTAAATTGCTGTAATTAGCAGGCACTAATTTATTTATATTTGATGAATGTCTTATGAATAATCTGCTTCATCATAGTGAAGAGAATTTATTCGTAAACAAACTTAAAAAAAAAGGTAGAAGACATCTCTTTTAAAAATGTTTTCATTTTACTTAAGCAGCTGTAAAATTAACTACTTTTTCTGGAGAAAAATACTATTTCTTTTTGACATCTATAGAAAATTCTGTATTTACCCCACAAAATGGGTTCAGAGGATGTGTTAGCATGGCAGAAGTTGCTTAGCTATTTGTCAGTGTTTGGGTTCAGACTGAAAATACTATTTAAAAGAGAGATTTGTATGAACCTATTCAGACTTCTCAGCCTTTAGTATTATATATACTGATTTATTTATTTAAATAATGACTTCCTGTAACACTGCAGTGGCTTACATTTTTGTAATGTGTCATTATTGCAATGTACATATTCTATGAGTAATTACATTTATGCCTTAGCATTTTTTTTATCTGTAGCAGCTAGACATTACTGTGAATGTCCTCTGAATGCATGTCTAACTGTAGAAAGACCCCTCTTTTCAGTCGTGTCCTGCATTTCATGTGTTATTGTCCATTAAGTAATTCTTCTTCTGAGTCCTGCTTTTTTGCTCTTCTCAGTAGCTCTAAAAATGCTGTGCCTGATTCACCATTACTTTCTAACTTCAATTTTACCAGTGAAAGAATAAAAAAAAAGAAGACCCACAGCTGCTCTGCTTTTGTGTGAGTGACAGAGGTGCACAATAACCATGAGTCAGGCCTTTTTACAGATCCTATCATTAACATCATTACCATTTTTACTAAAAAAACCCAACAACCTTTGGCTGAATTTATCACTCATGAACAAGGGGATGTCCTGAACATTTGGTGTGGATTTGCAGGCCATTCTTTCTGTTTCTGTTTCTCTCATGAGGCAAGACAATCCTGACACACACTGAAATGCATTTTAATGTTACTATATGGAGGATGGAGGAAGGATTATTATGCATAACTTTTTTCTACTGGTAGTGCTAGGCAGCTACAAAATACTTTTTGTCCAAGGATTCCCAAGTGACATTTGCCTCCTAACTTCCACTGTAGCAAGGTGTCTGACAATTCATTTTTATATATCTGGAGACTGAAGCATTTAGGAGAAGTAGACAAGTCACCTCGGTCAAAGTAATAAATAAACAACAATTTGGTTAAATTGTCATCCACAATGACAAAAAGCAAGAATGCCAGTCTATAATAGCATGTAACATTTGTGTGATCAGTTGTTTTCCCTTCACCACACACAGAGTAAGTCTGAAATCCTGCCATTGTGAATGTGTGTCCATACCTCGTAAATAAGCTAAATCACCTGTTAGTATTTTAGGAAATTGCTCAGAATGACTCTTCATAAAAAGAGGAAATTAGAAGTTAAGTCAAGTTGTATATTCTTGTGTTGTTTTTCCCCTTGGTACTTCAGTGGCTGTTTTTTCCATTCCTTGTATTTGATTATTCTTATTTATGGCATTATATTACAAATCCTGTTTAGCTATTTATGTTCATCCAGACACAGAAAATAATACATAGACACAAAAATAAAAAAATTAAGTGTAAGGATCATCTTAAACAGTTTCAGAACTAAAAGTATCTATGAAACACGGCATATTTATGCATCCTAGATCAGAGAAGTGCCTAATGATGGTCTGACATTGCGCCTCTAACAGAAATGCTCATGTTTTAGTGGAAGCACAGTCCAAGCTGGCTAGATATTAACCAGTTCAGGCAATATCCCTTCTGTATATTGAAAAGATAACTTCTGAGATCTTATTTCCTGCCTAGGCAATGCCCTAATCTGAAATGAGATCTCATTTCTGGGTTAAGGGAGGTGCTTGATTTGGAAAACTAATTTCGATATATGTGACTTAGAGTGAACTCCACATTGCTTTACCAGGATAAATAGACAATTTGCACTGTCACTGTAATTAGTCCACACTAAGATTTCTAGTAATTTCCAGGTTTTTCGTGAAACTTTATTGAATGTTGAGTTTATTTATAGCAGAGAAAATCTGAAATAAATCTGCCAGAGTCAATTCTATTAATCCAGGCTTTCATCAATATTAATGGCAACAAAATCTAAGTTTATATTAAATACATTGGGAGTTTATATGATTTAGGAGTGTCAAATATTGCAATTACACTGCTTAAATTTTTATTCAGTTTATAGCAACCAGTAATACCCATACTCTTTGTTCAAGAGCTTACCAATGTGGGTTTACATGGGTAATTTTATCTCAGGCTGTTTGGTATTTGACATAAATCCTTCATTTCTGGAGTAAACTAATAATACGGCTTTCTATTTTTGAAAAGGAGATTTAACCTTCATATTTGTGAATGAAAGCTGGAAATCCTGAGTCGAGAAAACCCAAACCATGAATCATTTCTACATAAAATCTCAGCCTTTTAGAGGGGGGGAAAAGGGTTTATTTTCATTTTAATCTTGGTCTTGCTTGTTGAATGATTGGTGCTGGTGAGCCCATGGGGGTGTACACATACATGTATGGAGGTGGGAATGTGCACTTTTTCTTAAACACTGAACCTGAACTGGAGTGTACTGGAACCTTTCTGAAGCTCAGAAATGTTTTTCTGGGTGGTGTTTCTGGTAGGTTAGTCACTGCCTAGTGCATGGAAAATGAGAATCATGATATTCTGGGTCCAGACATAGATGTTCAGGATTACCTGGGTAGGATTCTGACTAACAGGGAGGGCGGGTTGTATTCCACCTAACAAACTCACAAAAGACAGAAAAAGACCTACCAAGTGACACCAACATGATCGGTCTGCCATTCACAAGGTATAGAGACCAAAAATCCACTCAAAATTCTTGTTCTGTTATTTCCTTTTTCTAGAAAAAGCAAGTGAGTCAAACAAAGATCCGGGTGATCTCTACTATCCTCTTCATCCTGGCAGGCTGCATTGTCTTTGTGACAATTCCTGCATTCATCTTCAAACACATCGAGGGATGGACAGCGCTGGAGTCCATCTACTTTGTGGTTGTTACTCTGACTACCATTGGCTTTGGTGACTTTGTAGCAGGTGAGCAGCTTCAAGCCCAGATGCTGTGCAGGAGGGCCTTGGCTCTCAGAATTTGTTTTCTGGGGTAGAGAGGAGGCTTTTCACAATGTGTTATATTCCAGTGAAATGATGCCAGTTGTTTTTGTTGGGGTTACTGTGCAGTAGGACACCAGGTTGATTTAAGATCCAGGTGCCTTGCCATCTGCAGATTACAAGCCTTCAGCAGTGTAGATAACAGGAGCCTGGGAAATCCTGATTATCCTTTACTGTGCAATGAATTATGCACAAGTCAAATTACTTTCCCATTGAGTTCAAGATTTGTATTAGTCCATTAGGGCTCAATCTGAGGCTGACTACAGAAGCAAGTAGCTCAAATGATGAATGGAGGAAGGTTTTACAAAGTGGTGCTGAGCCCCAGGTCTCAGTGGTGGGTTGCTACTACAGGAGCTGCAGCATTTCAAAAACTGCATTTTGTTCTCTAACTTTGGCAAAAATTGTTAAGGAAAGCTTATGTGGAAGAGAAGGACTAATGGGGTATGCATTTTAGTGCTTGGAGGATACTCTCCAGAATTAATACAGTACCAGTAGGAACTGTAAATATCCACCCTTATCAGTTTCCAAAGAGGGAGTCAAGATAGTCAGCTAGAGAGACGAGAGATATTTTCTTTTCGCACAGCGGCTTTGCTAACAGAAAGGTAGTTAAAATAAGTGGATTTTTCTCCCATCAGTGCATGACCTCTACTCTTCATTCCTGTTAGCAGTCCTAATTAAAGGCATTAAGATATTTATGTTACAAACAGTCATAATATGCTACTGTTTTCTTACTTTCTATGAATCAACAAAGCATGAATGAGTTAAAAACATCAAATAAAACTACAGGGATATATAAAGTTTTCTTTACTGAAGAACTGCAGACAAGTCTTTGTAGAGAAGACTACTCCTCTTTTTATGACACAGTGGTATACAAGACATGAATTATTGAGGAAAAGAAAAGGCACAGAACAAAGAAAGACTCAGATGTGAAGAAAAAAATGTTTAATGAGCGTTCAGTTACAGAAGTGATTGTATGAGCTTGGTTCATTTTAACCACTTAAATGTGTAGAGAAGCTCACTGAAATTCTGTCTTTGTGGTATCATGCTGTGAAATAAAAATAATTCACCATATTTTTTTTAATCATATCACACTTCAGTATTGTTTTCTTTAATAATATAATAGTAAAAAAGTTCTGAATGTTAAATTGTTCTATATGCAACATGATTAGGAGAATATAATCCACAGCTGGGTGGCTACTAACAAGCACAGTTTTTCAAAAATCAAATGGAAGACCCTGGATAAGAAAACTTCAGAGGTGATTTCATGATAAGAGTTTAAGGCAGGTGATCACCAGGAGATTTGGGTTTTATTGTTGGCTTTGAGAGAGATTTTCTGTCCCTTTTATTTTCTGTCACTTTAATCTCTCAGTATCTCTGTTCCTTCAACATCAAATCAAAAATACTACATTGTAATGGGTAAAATAACATCAATGGAGCTATGCTGGTTTATTCCACCTAGAACATTTCCCAGCTCTTGGTAAAATAGTAAGTTTTTGTACTACTGTCAGAAATATAATTGTAGATGAAGCCTGAAAAAACCAGAATATCTGATAGGCTGAAAAAAGTGGTCTCATGTTTTCTCGGTCACCTCATTACTCTGTAAGATAGACCTAGACAATCTGTTTCCTAGTAAGCTTCCTCAGGGACACATATGATCAGAAGAGGCTTGTACCATGGCAACAGCAGTTACCGCCTCCCATTGTTTCCCACTCTTAAAGACTGGAAGAAAAGAGTGTGATTCAGGCAGTATATGGGGAGAGATTAACATCAAAACCAGTATTTGGGTCCCTGCCAATTCTCAAATGTCTGACCTTCCATGGGGATGTTCAAGCACCATACCTACATTTATATTGAGTTTTGCTAAAATTAAAGAGTCATAGCAATGTCTCAGATTGCAAAAAGGAAAGGGTAAAATGCCAAACTGTGTTGTATAGTGATTTTAACAGGGGAAAATCCTAGAATCTCTCTGCAGTCATGCAGAGGTATCAGTAGGTATCTAGCTCTTGTCTAACCAGGCCTGGAGTCCAGGAAATATGCAGTCCTCTGCCTGAGTCTCCTGGTAGGCTGGCTGTGCAGGCAGAGATTTACACAAGTACCACCAAGGTGGTGTTTGTTCACCTGCACAGAGGAATACAGTGGTGCCCATGGGGCTGGGCAGACTCTTTGCTGCTGACTCTCTTCCGCTCAGGGCTGTGCCTGCTATCACTGGCTCTCATTCTTGCAGTGCACATAGCACTGTGATAGGACTGAGAGTCTCAAAAGTGAGACTGTGGTTGTTCTCTTTTGGAAAAGTTTATTTTATTCTGTGGTAGGCAGCAGTTTGGCTGCTACTGTACTTATTTTAGGCTCTTTGTAGTCCATTAGATTTGCCAAATGTCTCATTCTTGTTTTGCCAGCTCATCCTGAGACTTGCATGAAGAACATACAGGATCTTTGTTGCTTGCTTTGATCCATATCTCCTCTCAATTCACTGGCCAGAGAATGCACCCCTCTAAATGATACCCAAGCAGACTGTATACTGTATATCCTTATTTTCATGGCTGACGCATGGTTGGGTTTCAGTCAGATATCCTGATTTGGAAGGGTAGACAAAAGGGAAGACAAAGCTACATATCTTTCTTCTGCACATAGGTCTCTCAATCCTGTAGCTAAACCCAAAAAGCCTTATGGAAATTCTATAACCTAAAGGGGTTGATCTGTAAAGGCTGCAGGCACTTCAGTACAAGGAAGATTAGCTGTATATAACCTTTTTCTTGGATGTATGTTTGTGCTGTTGCAAGTACTATCAAAGCGGGAATTTCAGACTTGCTTCAGAGTACGAGTAGTATAAAGAAAAGTGTTTACTAGATGCTCTGGCAGGTCACATAGAAGCAGAAAAATAGGTAATTTTGAAGAGTTTTAAATTAAGAACAGACTGTGTTCCTCCCGTCTGACAGGCTTCTTGTCTATTATCAGAACTACAGTGATGTTGTCAAGAGTTAAATACTTTCAGGCATTTCTCAGAATTGCAGATATTTTGTCATAATTTTGGCATCTTATGATTCCTAAGCATAAGTATATGCTTATTTCAGGAGGAAATGCTGACATACATTATCGAGAGTGGTATAAACCCTTAGTGTGGTTCTGGATTCTTGTCGGCCTTGCTTACTTTGCTGCTGTCCTGAGTATGATTGGAGACTGGTTAAGAGTCCTGTCCAAGAAGACACAAGAAGAGGTAATGATTAGTAATTTCCCACAATATGTTTTAAAAACTCCTCAAGATGACTTGAGTGTTATTTGGACAGTTGTGCAATGGAAACCTCCATTAAAGACAGCTACATTTGCCCCTGAGAACTCTATACTGGCTCAGTCAGAGGGCCAGTTGAAATTATCTAATGGGCATTTCCAACAATAACTGCTCTGTGACTCTGTGGCCCTCAACAGGACCTTTGGTGGGACTGAACAGCTCCATCCATAATCAATATGGGAAGATACATTACTGTACTGCTGCACTAGTTGTTGTGCTGCTCTGAAGCATATTGATTTAATTATATGTGATTAATTTTGCCCACTCCAGACCATCTACTGCTGACCTTACGAATCAGGAATTTTGTTCTTTACCAAGGAGGGACTAGCATGAACAACTCTCATCATGTAACACAGCTGTAAAACGCATGGGGTGGCAAAGTGTGACACGGGCAGACAAGTTATATGCCCCATAAGCCATCAGCTAGTCACTAATTGGTGTGTTTAGAGATGGATGGACATGGTGTGTTTAGAGATGGATGCAGTGGAGATGGGACCACTCTCTGATTTTGTGTCAGAGAAGGAAGTGTTTATGCTGCTGTTCTAAAGGAAAGACTGTAGCTTCATTTTGCTTTTTCTTTTTTTTTTTTTTAATTTTTAAAAATTAATTTCTCTTTCTTCTTTTGCAAAGGTTGGAGAAATAAAAGCCCATGCAGCAGAGTGGAAAGCAAATGTGACGGCTGAGTTCAGAGAGACACGGAGGAGGCTCAGTGTGGAGATCCACGACAAACTTCAACGGGCAGCCACCATCCGGAGCATGGAGCGCAGACGCCTTGGCCTGGACCAGCGAGCTCACTCCTTAGACATGCTCTCTCCAGAGAAGCGCTCTGTCTTCGCTACCTTGGAAACAGGGCGCTTCAAGGCCTCCTCTCAGGAAAGCATCAACAACAGGCCTAACAACCTGCGCCTTAAAGGGCCAGATCAGCTTAACAAGCACGGGCAGGGGGCATCCGAGGACAACATCATTAACAAGTTTGGATCATCCGCTAAGATGACCAAAAGGAAAAACAAAGACCTCAAAAAGACCATCCCTGAGGATGTGCGTAAAATTTATGAGACCTTCAGAAACTGTTCTTTGGATGAAGAAAAAAAGGAAGAGGAGACGGAGAAGATGTGTAATTCCGAGATCTCTTCTAGCACTGCAGTCCTGACCAGCTGTATCCAGCAGCACTCAGACCTGGAAAATGGAGTGATTCCCAATGAAACCAAAGAAAGGGAACAAGAAAACAAAGCGTTACTTGAAGACAAAAATTAAATATAAAAGATGCTTGACTTGAATTAACAATGTTAGTGGTTTTATATGTATATATATATTGAGACACGTGCCTTATACAGACTCCTTATTCAATCTCAATTATATAGCATCGAGGAATATTTCACTGTGCCATAAAGACTCAAGCTTGCTCTGCCAAAACAAACCAGGAACACAGCACTGCAGAATGGCAACAGAAAGCTACGCACATGGAAATTTCAGCCTGTATAAGATTACCAGGGCAAGACACAAGGGAAGGAATTGAACCATGGCAATATCACCAGAGTGCTCCTGCCGTGGCATATTAGACGAAGGGCAGCTATGTAAGAAGAGCCTGTGAAAGGGATGAAAAAGAGTGTATCTTTGTAGGGGATTATGCATCCATAAAGCCTTCCCCTGGTGATTAAAAAGAGGAGAAATGATTGGAGTGAACTAAAAACTTTCAGTAAGGCTTAGTTTACGTTTTGGCACGTGATCCAAGCTAGTTTTTTTTCCTTTTTTTTGAGTCAGATGCATTACCTTTCTAAACTCCAAAAGAATGTCTATGGACACAACCACCAGCTAGGTGCTGGTTTGAAAAATCAACACAGGTGTATGTAAGGGTTGGATTACTCTTTTCATTAAAAAAAAAAAAAAAAAGAAAAGAAAAAACTCCATGGGTATTTATCTTAAGCAGTGACAAAAAAAAAAGAAAAATGGATTTTTTTCTCACAAGAAAGTGCATATGAAGAAAACGCAACATCTCATGCTATGTTGTTTAAAAGAAGAGAAACATCAATTTAATATTTGGCTAAGTGTATAAAACAGTGGGCCAAGTGGTTTTTTTAAAGAATTTTTCAGTCACACTTTCTACCACTGAAAAAAACCCTTCAATTTTAATACTGTAAGACTATGAAGACAGAAGGGAAGCTACAGCTTTTGCGTGCTGGCAAACTGCTGTTCTCTGTAGCTGAATCTGAATTTTAGGCATCAGAGCATATACACAAATCAAATGAGGGCCAGGGCTACCATAGAATCTCAGGGTTCTCTGCCCCTTTTGCTGGGTTTGGGTTTAGACATAAGCTGCTGTCATAATCTCAGAAAAAAAAAAGAAAAGAAAAAGGAAATTTAGGAAAAGAAGTTAAGAAATATATGGTGGTAAACTTTTAAGTGCTTATAGCTTTAAGTGCCATTAATGCTATCATATTTTGTAACTTTTTAAACAAGTACTTTGAATTATTTGTTTTATTTCCTTTCAGGTACTCTCTTTGTTTGACAGTTGCTATCTCTTTTCCTGATAAAAACTAAACATGAGCTCTCTGCATTTCTAGAGTAAAGAGAAATATATCCAAACTGTGGGCATTTTTTAAAAATCTTTTGTGCTGTCTGGACATATGGATATAAGAAATAGAATTGTCTCTAGACTTCACAGTAAATATTCAAACAAAAGGCTGCAAAATAATTAATGGGAATTGCAAAACATACTAAATTTTTTATAGCCTCAGCCTGTGGGCTACTGCGTGTGCCATTTCAGATAGAAGATTTTGCATGCTGGAAATGAGATACACATGATTGTGCCAGCAATGCTTTCTCTGTGCTTTCACAAAATCCTAAATATTCCTGCAATTCAAACTGTAGGCTTATAGGTAAGGTGAGCATGGATATTGATCTCAGAGACATACTGACTCTTGCAAGCTAGTCAAACATACGGACACTTGCAGATCATACAGACATGGATTTTTGGAATTGCATGCCCCCCAGAATGCATGTGTCATTCTGTGATAGTTTCTGAGATTTTATGCACAATGAGCCAACTCAAAATCAAACTGGTCACCACAATACATGATTGCCATGGCTATGAATGGAAGCATGGCTGTGCAAATACAAATTTTGATTATGCCTATTTGCAAATCTAATGATGCTGCAGGATTTGCAGGAGTAAGCTGAATTCCACTAGTGCAGAGGAGGAAAGTTCGTAGTGTGTTCTGTCTGCTGGTTCACTTCTCTTGAAATGTCAAATTGTCTTTCTAATTTCATTATCTCTCTGAAAATTAAGGATGAAAAAGCAATGTTTGAAAAATTTCAGGTCATTTGGGATTGCTCTAACTCAGTAAGATCCAACAGAAATTGAATTCTGGTTAGTTCCGCAATGAATCTCTTAAGGTGCCGGGCTGTGCCCTGGCTTTATCTTACCAGGGGCAGGGCAGTAAGCCCAGTCCCCAGGGGAGGTTTCATCAGACTCGAGAGCTGCCATGGCTTCTGGAGACTTTTACGCCAGGCATCCCTGTGCTCAGCTTCATAAACGTGCAAATGGCAACTTGTGGCCATCCTCAGATTCCATCCTCCTCAAGCCACAGGCAGACACAATCAAGGTGCAGGTCTGTTCAAGCATCACAGTTCTTCAGCCTTCCTATTGCTCCTGCTTTTGGGCAGGCCTTGAGTGTCACATATGAGCAAATGTTCTGAAGTCTCATGCAGAAGCACAGAGCATCATTTGCTAATTCTGTATGCCGGGATGAATAAAGCATACCTGGATGCACTAAGGTTTTATGTTCAGATCTGGGGTTTTATTGTGGTGGTGGGAGGTTAGGATTGAAATCTACAGTTTAGATTTGGCTTTTAATTCCAGAAAAGATTCAGAAGTGCTCAGACATGTGATTTGGGTTCTGAGAATTAAAGTACTGCCTTGTTACACCATTCTGTGCTTTGCATCTATGAAGGATCAGGCACCCAAAAGTATCCCATCTGACTCTGAAAGCATGCAACAGTGCTAACAGTTCTCCTTGGTTACCAAATGCCAAGACCAATGTCATGCACACAGTGTTACCTATTCCTTCAACTGAGTTCTCACGAGAAATGCTTGCCTGCAATGGAAAAGTTCTGCATAGTCACACAGACAGATGTAATGATATGGAGATGCATTTTCTATATGTGAAATATAGGACTTAGTCATAGCCAGGGCATTTCTGCTGGTTAGGATCAGGGAAAGTAAACCCTATCTTGTAGAACTTGTCTCTGTGAGCAGGGAGTTGGACAGGGGGCAAATCATGGAAAACAAGTCAATGTGGACAAGTGATTGAGGAGGCGAAGTTTGGTGGGTAAATTCAGAACTGTTTGCTCTGGTGGGATAGAAGGTCAATGAAATCTTGTCATAGTTTTAATGTAAACTTTCTGAGTTCTCAGTCTGTTCCCTGTCCAGATTCTAGCTGATGGTGTATGTGTGTCTCATTCTACTGTCTGCTTGTCATGCCATGCAGGAGCCCCTGGCTGACATTTTATCAGCTGTTTCTTCAGCACCTCCTGGTTTGGGATATAATAGTTCAGGGACAAAGGGTGATACTGAATAAACTCTCAGTGAGATACTGAGCAGAGAGAGCATTTGATGACCTTTTGTATGAAAGCAAAATGCTCTCTTTCATTCCTCTCCATTTCTGTGTCTGTGAAACTTGCTTAGAAAGCTGCCAGGCTGCTACCGGAATAAATACTTTCTTCTATAATATGACTGCCTATTAAATACCTCAGTATGCATAATTTTTACTATAGTATGGGAAGTGCAAATGGTGTATTGCATGGGGGGCCAGACAGAAATGTCTGACACCTAAAATAACATTTTAATGAGCTAAATTGCTTTTCCTCTGGTAAAGGACATCCCTTTGTTTTAATTATATGCAACAGTTTGGGAGAGAATCTCAGCTCAGACATCAAGAATTTTATGGCTAAAATTCTCATCTTCTGGCATTTAGTAATACCTATAAAAAACTTATTATGTTATTTCTAGTGAGGCTGTTCCACCATTATAGAAAGTTTTAGAAAAAGTAGTCTGAACCATATCCAAAACTCCTTGCTCTAAATTAGGGCTTTTCACAGCAGCCTGAAAATAAGAAGTCAAACAAAAGCGTGGTACCGACTTTAGCACTGAGATCGTCCCCTGAGCACAACATGACTTGACATGGGAACTGGGACCTGAAAGAATAAAGGAAACGTGTTTTTCTGTAGCCACAGCCCTCACACACAGAGGATAACTCAACTTTTGTTTTCCAGCAGCTTTCAGCCCCACTGTCCACTGCCTTGTGCAGGAGAATTCTGCTAAGCCACTTTGGTGATCCTCCTGAACCATTAACCATCACTGAACTTGTGCAGATATTGCATGAGTGGTTTCGAAAACATGTGTAACTTCATCCATGTGGCAGTCTGTGAATTACATTACCCTTTAATAGGGAACATTATTTCTAATAAATCTTATTAGAAGTAATAGCAAATAAAATTTAAAAAATACCAGTGATTTATATTCATAAAATCTGATTTTGGTTGTTGCTTTGAAATTATAAATCATCTGAGCTTCTGCTGTTTGGCTTTATGATGTCTCTAGTACAAGTCTGCTTCTTCCAAAGCCATTAATGGACTATGCCAGAGACTTTCTATAAGATTCTCTAACCCATAATAAATGAAAGTGTATGTCTAAGAGTTCAGGCTGTTAAAAACCCTGTCCTTAAAAAAACTGCATTTTCCTGAAGAATTTGTGTTTATGCTGTACATGGGCTGTTTGTTTGCCAGCTTTCATTTACTCAGGGGTTTATTTGTGTTGTCAGATTGCATGATGTCTGCTACTCTCACTTTTTCCATCGTCCACTAGAAGTAAATTACAGGCAAAGACCAACTGTTATGTTGTGTACTAACGTAGAATAAGAACTCTTCTACTAAACAGATATAAATTAAAGCTAACTGGGAACTGCTTCAGTCCTCCCTGTACATTTGCTTTTTCTGAACTACGTTTTGTCTATCTAAGGCCAAAATCTGCTCCCATCAAGTCTGTGCAGTAAAATGGAGGTGGCTTGTTATTTTTAAGCTTTTTATAGCAAAGTCCTGCTGTTTTAACTCATCTCTACAGTGCCGTTTATACTTACTGGAATGGCATTATATCAATACTAAATACAAATTAGCTCAGCTTCAGAAACAGTTCCCTAGGCATTTGAATATCAATGAAAACACAAGGTAAATCAACACAAATCTGTGGAACTCAAGTAAAGGCTTGTAGATTAATGTATGAAACTGGTTGCCTGAAATATATCAGCAAAAAAGTGTAGATCTGAAAATTCCTTTAGGTTGCCAAAGTTTTCCCAAGGTCCCCATCTCCTTTACTACCAGTAGCAGTTACTCTCCTTAATACCATTGCTGCAGTTGTGAGAGCTAATTTGGGGTGTCCTGATGTAACCAGCACGTGATCTGTGAGCTGGATCATGGTGGGTTGGGAAGGTCACTCAGAAGGCAGGACATATCCACAAGGCTGCTGAGTTCAGGAACCAGCTGAAGAAAGGTCCCATGCAAACGTGCGCATGCCCAGCGTTCACATGGCACAAGTAACTGGTTCTGCACACAGATTTACTGGTGATGCCTCCCTGCTCCATTCAGCTAGATGTGAACTTGTCGTGCTCCCTCGTCTCTGGTTACAGGTCACATAGGAGCTGTCTTATCACCAGGAAATACCAGTGCTGCTGCTTTTGGAGGAAAGTGGACATTTCTATAGCATGTGGCTTTTTGAGGCAAATAGGATCTGCTTTCTGTGGCTGATCTTGAGAGCAAACCACAGGCAGGTGATACTTGGCATGTGAGAGAGAATACTTTTGTCTCCCAAATATATTCTACCTTCACAGTCTTTTTTTCCTGTGAGAGCTGGGTGCTTAAAGAGTAAAGCTTATGATGTCTACTGTGAGATGTAAACCAAACATACCAGCTTTCAGCCTACCATTTAGCAGTTTCTCAGATCCTGGAGTCATGTATTAGCTATAATTAGAAAAAGGCAGGGTTTATGTCTAGATCTCAGCTTCCCAACAGTTTAAATTTATTCAAGACAGTGTTTCAATGTAGTTTTAGACTGATTTTTTTCCAAGTTCTAATAGAATTTGATTTGGACCTTGGACAGGACTGAGAAGCCATTATTAGTAATTTTCAGCTTTGCGTTTGAATAAGAACTTTCTCAAAATTTGGGGAAACATTTTCTTGGGATACTGTTCAACTATTTTTCCTGATCAAATGATACTATAAGCAATCAGCAAATCCAATTGCAAGGATGTTCTATCTACTTTCTTGTCTCTGTCCTTCTTTCACTCTCTCTGTAAGATTTAATGGTGCTTTAGAAAGGAATTCTCAGAAAAAGGACAATTTCCTAAATGTCATTACCAGGGTACAGAGCAGAATGTGCTTGTACCATCTTGAAAAGTTTTGCTGCTATTGTCTTTATTTTATGATGTAATGTTTTACAAAGATTGAAAAAAAAAATTGCAACAAAGACTGTCTGGATAAACTCGCTTTTCTTGTTTGTTTTTTTTTTCTCTCTCTGTTGCCCTACCATCAAAAAGGGTAAAGGAACTGTAATTAAACTTCTGTTTTTCTCCTTAGTTGACAATCTAGTTTGCCTTATTTTCTGGGTGTCTGATTTGGGAAGCCATGGTGCTGGGCTGGTTTCAAGAGAGGCACAAACTTCCAGCCATACCACT